TTGTGGCATCTGTTAGGAGTTAGTAAACAATAAAGCACACGAGACAAGAGTAGCGAACTTCATCCATCTTGTTCACTCATCACTTCCATTCTCTCACACATTACATCATTACACAACAGTTCAGACTTCCTTTACAAAATAGTAGTTACAATACAATTCAAGCATGAACACAACAGTCATTTCTACGGCAGTTTGGACATTTGAAATCTTTCCAGCATCCAAAAGCGAGTCTAATTTCGGTATCTTGGGAACGCTTTCCATCTGTTAAACTCTTCAAGTCACAGCATTTTTCACAGTGCAGTGGACAAAGTCAGCGGCAAGGACGATGTCAGTGTATGTTTGTGTTCTCTGCATTGTTAAATCTGCTTACTAGAGTAACTCCCGGCCAATAACTGCTCTTTTGCATTTATCATGTCAGCATCTGCTCTCTAATGCCCTGCTGAAAACTCTCCGAAGGATCAAGTTTTGAAGATTACACTCACCTAATTTATGCTAAATACATGCCTAGTACACTCCACAAATGTGACGGGGGGACAAATGCCTCTATCCCGAGATTTATGTGTCCACTTATTTTATGCTACAAGCAGTTCCCCTCTGGAACTTTTGCAATATTTTCCCCAAGCAGGCACTGCAGGGCTGGTATGGCAGAGATTAAGGCTGTTTGTGCAGGATTAACTCATTGAGGAACAGAACATAAAGGTGGCCACACAGCAGCAGAGCTGGAGGAGGATAGCAGAGAGCTACAGTGACACAGCAGATAAATTCTTGATCCAGGATGATCCCATAAAAGAATTCCCAGCCAGAGGTACATTTGGGGTGGACACAAAGACACTGCGTAGACCAAAAGGCCCTCTGAGCTCATTGGGCTGGGAATAGGGAAGCTCAGGCTGGGCTGATGATGTTAAGAACCATCATAGGGTGACGGTAGCACACATGGCTTCAGTGTGGAGCTAACCGGCACATGGCACCCAAACCTACCCAATGCATACCACCGAGTCATTATTTACATCTGGATCTCTGACTGTGACCTTCATCTTCATCTATCTTTGAAAAAATTAAAATTAAAATCTACTGGCAAACGGTAACTGACGGTAATGGTAACTGAAACTGTTTGGTTACCAAATTTTTTTTTTTATATCTTCTTTTACATTCTACAGCAGAAAGAAAGTTATACAAGCTTGGAATGGCATGAGGATGAGGAAATGATGACATAATTCACATTTCTAGGCGAACAACCTCTTTAATGATAGGCTATAATTAGGATTGGGACATGACTCAGGAAAGAAACTTTTTTTTTTTTCCATATGAGCATAATATCCATAAATGTGTTTGGAGAATTAGTGGTAACTGCCAACAAAAACTGGGGCCGGATTCACACAACATTCTTAAGAATACAATTCCTCTTAACTGCTAATTTCTTCTTATTTTCTAACCTAAGAACCTTTTATAAGAATGTTCTTATCTTTTTTCTTTAGCTCGTTCTTAAGACAGATTTCAAGTATTCATATTCCTGAAAAGAATGGCTCTCATTCACCAAGCATGTGTACGCACAAATGTGTGGGTGAAATCTGCGAATGTTTTCACAAACAAATGATGATTCACCAAGAACTTTCATATTGAAATGTATTCTTAATTTACGGCAAAAATGTAGGACCAACTGAAACCACACGTCCGCAAAAAGCACGTACACTGCAGCCTTATAATCATGTTAAAAAGTTATATCTCATCTTAAATATTGTTTAATTTCATCATAATATATATATTTATATTATATATATTTCATCTATATGCTTCATCATAAATATATATATTTATATATTTCATCATAAACAGTCAAAGAGTGAGAAAAGCTACGTTATAGCTTGCACGTGGCCGCTCATTAAGAATACTCCAAATTCACTTACATTAGAACAAGATTAAGAACAAATTCATGTGCATTAGCACGTGTTGTGAATTAGGCGGAGATTTTTTTGTGAGAAGTTCTCCTGTGCATACAAATACGAAATCCACACAATTATTATTGAATGAGACCCAATGTTCTTAAAAATCATTGTAAATACCTTCTTAAAGTTGGGATAACCTCCAACTTGTCTTAAATACGCAAAAGTTGGCCAATTATTGGTTTGTTTCAAATATTAAGCATTACCACATAACACTTGCTACATATACACATTACTGGTACAATGAATGTGGACGAGTACTCTGAAGAGACACAAATAAATAATTTGTGAGTATAGTCTACTTGAAGCGTTCACTCGAGCTAGAACTAGACACAGGACACATTCTCTCTGGAGAAAGTGCATGAAAGACTGATGTGCAAATGAATGGGTAGAAAGACTGCTGCATCTTGAGACAGGCTCTTTTAAAATAACTATTTTAACTTGACAGCGCATTAAAAATACGACTCTGAGTGATTAACTCCCGTCAAGCCAGTTCCAACAAAAATAGTCTGCACGAGTATTATGATATCTATGGTTACCTGCAGCAGTGGACAAAGTTTTTCAGCAGTTTTTCATTCGATGAGTCTTTAGCAATTTTCTTTTTCATTTTCTTCTTAAAGACCCCCTGTGGTGAAAATCAAGTTTTTAATGTTGTTTTTATGTCAATGTGGTGTTTTTAAGATGCTTTAAGACAAACCATATGCAAATTCATAAGTCAACACCATTGCTGAGTATGTTCTCCTTAAAATTGCAGTGATCTAAAGACAGTCTCAAAACATGGTATAAAATCGCAGGTGTTTTGGTGTGAGAGACCCGGGTTCGAATCCACTGTGAGACACCAATGTGTCCCTGAGCAAGACACTTAACCCCTAGTTGCTCCAGAGGCGTGCGACCTCTGAAATATAGCAATTGTAAGTCGCTTTGGATAAAAGCGTCAGCTAAATGAATAAATGTAAAAAATGTAAATGTATACGTCACAAACTACCTTGTAACCAATCACGTGACTGTGCCGGCGGGCTTTAGTAGTCATTAACTCTGTTCTGAAGTAGGGGACATAGAGTCTCAAGAGAAGCAAGGTTATCCCGGTTTATTTTTCTGTTGATATGAAAAACCGGGTACATTTAGCAATATAGCGGGTGAATGTATAGGATGTATTACGATGTTATGAAGAACTATATGCCTTTCTCCACTGACGTTCTGATTTGTTCAAAGTGTTTGTAAGGATACATATTTTTAGAAGGCAGCTGCCTGACTCTGAGATGGCACATGGGCACATGATTCATGTAACATTAGCAATAAATTGTTAGCTGTTGATAATGTAGTCAAGCCAAAGGCTAATCATATTAATTACTGTTATGTGTCCGACATTGTAGAGAGCGATGCATAAAAACACATTACCATTCTGATATATCGACTTGTAGACAAGCCTGTATAATTCGCTTTTCCACTTCTTCTTCTGAATCAGTTCCTGGTTCAAACATATATGGCTAAATTAAACCAGCCATTAAAGGAGTAGTTCACTTTTAAAAAAACTTTTGCTGATAATTTACTCACCCCCATGTCATCCAAGATGTCCATGTCTTTCTATCTTCAGTCGAAAAGAAATTAATGTTTTTGATGAAAACATTCCAGGATTTTTCTCCATATAATGGACTTCAATGGTAGCCAAACGGTTCAAGATCTAAATGACCGTTTCAGTTCAGCTTCAAAGGGCTTTAAACGATACCAGACGATGAATAAGGGTCTTATCTAGAGAAACAATCTGTCATTTCAAAAATAAATAAAAAAGTTAAAGTTTTATAGGCACAAATGCTCGCCTTGCGAACTCTCCTGTTCGAACTCGTATATCAAAATGAACGAATCTTTTTTCGAGTCATTGACTCGTTCATCAAAATGAACGAGTTCGAACAGGAGAGTTCGCAAGGCGAGCATTTGTGCCTATAAAACTTTAACTTTTTTATTTATTTTTGAAATGACCGATCGTTTCGCTAGATAAGACCCTTATTCATCGTCTGGTATCGTTTAAAGCCCTTTGAAGCTGCACTGAAACGGTCATTTAGACCTTGATCCGTTTGGTGCCCAGCAAAGTGCATTATATGGAGAAAAATCCTGGAATGTTTTCATCAAAAACATTAATTTCTTTTTGACTGAAGAAAGAAAGACATGGACATCTTGAATGACATGGGGGTGAGTAAATTATCAGCAAAAGTTTTTTTAAAAGTGAACTAATCCTTTAATGCAGCTATTGTGCAGTGTTTACTACAGTACAGTTGACCGAGTATTCATGGACCCACGTATACTAAATGAAGCAAGGGTGTAGAGTTACACAAGTTATTAAGGCATGAATAAAACAAAATTCACAAGAAAAAAACATTTAACTATGTCATTTTGGTGATCAAAGATGAGTTTTAAGGGATAAAATGATTAAGAAATGTTTTTGATATTTCTTAAGAAAATGTTTGAGAAGTTCTTCAAGAATTGCCCCTCTTAGAATTTAGCTTGAGAATTTTCTTAACTTCTTCCTTAAGAAGATTTTTGTGAATACAGCCCCTGGATCTCAAAGGAAAATGTCAAGGAGCTGGACAGCTGGAAGTCTTCATTTGAGAGCTTCCCATCAGTCTGTTGAAGGTCTAGTGTCACAGCTTTCATTGTTATATTGGCACCTCTACTGGGACCAGTTAGCAGATTTGTTGCACTTCTTTGTGGGCTACAGCTCAAGGCCCTGGATTAGAAAACAGCCGATTTTCTGGACACAGCCGATGGAATGCAACACCAGGGAGCTAATTTGTGATTGTTGGCCAATACAAATCTGGACAAAAGACTGCTGAGCTGTAATTGTTGAGAGAGAGTGTACTAGAATTTATAAGAGTCTAGCCATTTGAAAGTACAATTTTAAAGAATTAAGAATTTGTATCTATCCAATTCTTGCTAGATATAGATGTATTCCTAAAAATACCAATTAATTAACCTGTATGGTGTGTCCTAACAAGAATATTATATTCTTGTAAAGCCCAAATAATGTTAATATCTAATATTTCTATGCTTTTTATTATTTTCAAGGTGAAGAACTGTATGAGACCTCCCCATATGAACCAATGCATCTCTCTGATGAGTTTCGACTTGCATCCATTATTTCTGGTAAGTTAAGATATCTTATGAGCTTTTCAATGTTGTTCAGTGGTGAAAGAAAGCCCAGTTTCTCTGTTCAAGGTTAGCGCTGTCCTTTATGTTCATACACGTTCTCGGACTCTTTCTCAGACGATTTAACCCTCTGGGGTCCAAGGTGTTTTGGGCTCCTTGAGATGTTTTGACATGCTCTGACATTTCTGCTTTTTTCAGTTGCTTATAAACATATTAATGGCACAGGTGAAATTACACTCTATTTAGCACACACAGGACTACCATAATATGTGAGCAACATGTATGTACAAGTTTGTATTTTTGAGAGAATATTGTTTATGCGTGGTTATTGAAAAAACTAAAAAATAAAGTTTTTGAAATAAGGACACAAAAAACATACTAAATATGTGTCCACAAGATTTTTGACTAATGGACGTTGTCGCCTAGAGTTTTTGCTTCAAAATGATCTGAAAATCATCCTTCCTAATCATTCACATAAAACAATAGATTGTTTTAAATTGTGAAAAACATTTTTTTGTTTGCCAAGGCAATATGCGGATGGGCGGAACGGCCCAACCCCTATCATGAATAATTAAGTGGTTCTCAGACAGTGACCCTGCATAATAATGAGCCTTTCATTCAGGGGTGTCACACAAGAAAGAATGCAAGGACAATATATATATATATATATATATATATATATATTGTCATTGCATTCTTTCTTGTATATATATATATATACACACACACACACACACACACACATATATATATATATATATATATATATATACAAACAATCAAAATATAAATGAAAGCCAAAAGCACATTTTTGTCATACCTGGAAACAAATCCTGGTCAAATGCTATATGGGCCATTCTACAGAATTGGTTCAAAGTTACAGTTGGAAACATCTTGAAAAGAAAATAGTCTTTTTCCATAAATGTCTTATAAAGTTTTATTTTTTAAAGTAGACCAATACAATAAAAATAAACCAGTCGCATTTCAAGTCGTTCGCGAAATGACCGCCAGGTGGCGCAAAGGGACATTTATCAAAACGTAAGTGGGGCTAATGTCAATTAACAGTAAGGATGCAATTCCACAAGTTATGGTAATTTGCAAATAAGCCTACAACAAACATTTATTTTTAAACAAATATTTTTAAATATGCAACATGCACGTTTAAACAACAAACAATACAATCTGAACCAGCGCTCCTGTATTGAGACATGCAGCGCGTTTCAGTTACGATCCTGGTTCCAGTGGCCTTAATACATTCACGGCTTTTTAAAATGTCAAAAAGCGTTTTGAGATGGTTTTGAATGAAATATTGAAGTTTATTTTTAGGGTATTTTGGCACACCACGCCGAGTGGCTATGCATTATTCTAAAATCTGGCTTTATTCTGGCATGTTGAATTAGAGTTTGACAAACGCGGCGGCGCGTTCATTTGAATTTATTTTTCTCATAACAGCTAAAAGAACTTACTGCGTAATTGTTGGTCATATATAGATAAGATATCATCTTTTAAAACGGTAAAAGGTCTACTTTTATTCATGTAGGCTAAAGTAGGCCTACACTCACTGGCTAACGAGAAAACGTTTTCTCGCTCATGTGAGAAACAAATGTTTGGGCATCTCTCAGTGAGAAAATGCATAGCCGAGCGGTATCCCGATCAAACATGGTCTACTGTAAATTTTATATTTATTAATCTAGAGAGATTTGTCTAGCTCTAAAACTCTGTTACACCATACAGTTTTTGCTTATATTTATAAAATAAAATTACCATGCATTTCCATTTTACACTAAGGAACAATAGTATCCAACAGAACGACTTTGCATCTGTAATAATAGGCTACCAATCGTAATTTCAAAAGCAGTTCTGTTCTGTAAAAAAGTAATTTTATATATATAGCTAGCCTATATATAGGCTATATATATATATATATATATATATATTTTTTTTTATTAGGCCTATTATTATTATTTTTTGATTCCCTACAACCTAGAGTTTTTAAAAACATGGTTTTAAGTAAAGTGTGATTTGCCAGGGGGGACGGGGATTTCCTTCTGGTCTAAACATCCCTGCTTCTGCTGAATTATTTGAATCCCCACACCCCTCCCTCCACAGTAATCAATGCTATAGGCTACTTCACCAATAGACCATATCAAATATAAAATAGAGATATGCAACAGGCACGTTTAAACGACAAACAATAAAATCAAAACCAGCGTTTCAGTTGTTCATTAGTTCAAGTGGCCTTAATGCATGCACGGCTTTTAAAATTTCACAAAGCGTTTTGAGATTATTTTGAATGAAATATTGAAGTTTATAATTAAGTGTTTTGGCACACCACGCCGAGTGGCCCTATGCATTTTTCTAAAGTCGGGTTTTATTCTGGCATGGTGAGTTAGTGTTCGACAAACGCGGCGCGTTCATTTAGATTAATTTATTTTTCTCATTATTACAGCTAAAATAACTTAATAGGCGACTCCGTAATTTTTTGGTCATACAGATAAGAGTAGAGTAGCTTACATCGTTCAAAACTGTAAACTTGTATTCATATTAGGCTAACGACAAAAACAGTAGGCTATATCTGTCGTCTCTGTCTCCGGGAACTGCGCGTCACAAAAATGAACCGAAAGCCACTTCAGCTCAGTCACTATAAGAAATCGGCTATGTCTAAAGCCTTTAAATGTCTAAATATTCAGGCTAATAAATATTATCTGATTATGTAATCCATATGAAAACGAGAGGTACAGAGGATCTACTCAAACATACTTGTAAGCGCTTCCCAATGAGAAAATGACAAGGGTGAAAATCTCGCTCTAATTAAATGTAGGCTAAATCGCCCTGAATTAAAATGTAAAAACAGATCAAATAATGTATTTGTCGAAATGTTGCGATATTGTTTCATTTAAGTTCATAATTATTCTATACATGTTATTTAATTTAGCAGCATTCCCACGTAGCACCGTGGTTCGATATTTATTTGAATAATAAAAAATAAATAAAAAAACTTAATTCACAAATTGCATGCCTAAGGATCCAAAGATCCCTGTAGAATTTAATATTGAGTTGAACATTTTGTTCATGACAACAAATTAACATGCGTTTTTTCAGATTATATTTAGTTTTGCTTGGAAAAAGCTGGCCCAAGCCAGTTTTATTTCATCAATTATTGAAATAATGAAATATTTAGTAATAAACTTTTATGACAGAAATATCACTAGGCTACATGTAACTTAAATCATTTAATTCCTTCATTATCAACACTGTCTAGAATAGCGATTTAAGTGTGAATTGCGACTTCTCTTTGTGTTAAGTCAGCCTCAGACTCCGATAGCCGGTGGGGGGTTGGAGGGACAGTTCAGTGTATCGTGCGCGCAGGACAATAGGCCTGTTAATGTTCCTCTTTCATATGGAGAGTGTCGGATAACGCAGCAACATATACAGTATTATCAGCTGATGTGTTTTTACCCTGTCCCTGAAATGCTTAATTTAGAGAGAGACCCGGCGCGCGCAGCGAGGGAGACTAAATAGACTTGTTAAAAAGAAATTCAGCGCGAGAGAGGCAAAGAAAAACGCATGTTTTTAATTTAATTATGTTTCTTTGGACAATTTTCGTTTTGTACTGTTTTAATTGTTTAACATAGCTGTCATTTCTTTGGCAATACAAATTTAAAATGTCGTAAGAATAAGATTAGCCTAGTGTTTCTTATTTTGCATCGCAAAAGAAATAAACTCCAAACCCGATGCAACCCTGTTTTAAATTAAAAAAAAAACTGTCCCGACACTTTATTTAAACCTTGAAATGTTCGAACTTGGTTTCAAACTTAAGTAATTTTAGTGTTCTTTTACATTACACAATAATTTAGCAGACTAAAGACGAGCTTCTTCATTTTCATTTTCTGATGCAATCGGCTGACAATCTTCCTTCATCAGTTTTTGTCGTTTGTGCAGCGGCTGCGGTTCTAAAGGAATGTAGCAAATTTACGTTGTAATGATAATTAAACAAAACTCTTGACTTTAAATAAGTAAACAGTTAGCTATTTAAGCATCAAGGTGGTCAAATATAAACGCTGTCGGCCAACATCGGTTAACAACATATATGCCACATTGAGATTCGATCTCGGGTCGCTTGAAGCTCCTTGAAGCTCATGTTATTGCGTTGATCACTGAGCTACCGTCTGTACACTGTTAAAACTAATGTCTTATGCTCTTGTAAAGCCTCATTGATGTAGCCTAAATGTTTTATTGCAATGTTTTATGTTTTCATTATTTATTCAATTTCATTTCAGTAGCCTAATTTCAGTATTGTGATTATGAATTATTTTAACTACGTTTCACTTGTTGAATTCATCTGCTACCAGCTTTCAATCGCTCTAAATGAGCCGAAGATTACGCATTAGAGAGAATAAACGAACACTTTTCAGAGTCTATGATTGTAGCGCCTCTTAGCGGTAAAAGGCAGCAAATACACCCCACATTTTACCGCCGCGGTGGAACGGCTGATGTGGGCATTGTCATGGCTTGCCTCAACATTTGCGTTTGAATAGCGCGCGTCCTCCGTGGGCGTGTCAGATTAACGCGTAATGAAGTGTAATGAGCTGGGAAAAAAAATACTGAAATCACTCTCTTTTCATACAGATTACATAAACTGAGAATATTTGTTTTTTATATAAATTACTTCATTGAAAAGAAGAGAATTCAAGCTTCATAAAGAAAAATCTCTCGTGCCTGTATGACAAGTATTTGCAGAGTTATAGTTAATCTTAGGACGCGTTTCAGAATGGACTGCACTGACAGAGAGAACGCAGAACGCGCATCATGTTTATTTTTCTTTATTTGGCGAAAAGCACAACACTTTGTTTTTATTGTGAGGTTCCACAAAAAAAATACAAACTTAACAGGATCGAATGATGTATAACACTTATATGTAAGATCAAAATCAACAAAGTATTTTGAGTCTCTTTTGCACTGATAAGGAAAAAAGTGAGCTGGTATCGCCGGCAAGA